GGTCCCCTCAGCTGTGTCTCCGTCTTCCACAAGTTCGTGTCCCGAGCTCTCATTTGCACACATCGATATCTGACCACCCTAGGTTCGTTGTCATTGCCTCAACTCGTGATATGGCCCGTAAGGTCTTCAACTCCCCCGGTTACGTTAAGCCCTGCGTTGTCGACGCCGCCCACAAGCTCCTTGGCCCCACCAACTGGGTGTTCCTCGACGGCAAGCCCCATGTCGACTTCCGTAAGGGACTCAACGGCCTCTTCACTCGCCAGGCCCTGGCTTCTTACCTGCCCGGTCAGGAGCAGGTTTACAAGCAGTACTTCCAAGAGTTCTTGCAGACCACCAAGAACGCTGGCGACAAGCCTGTTCCCTTCATGCCGCATCTCCGTGATCTCATGACGGCCGTTTCCTGCCGCACCTTTGTCGGCTTCTACATCTCGGACGAGGCCGTTCGCAAGATCTCCGCCGACTACTTCCTCATCACTGAGGCCCTCGAACTGGTCAACTTCCCCATCATTCTTCCCTACACCAAGACCTGGTACGGCAAGAAGGCGGCCGACATGGTCATCGCCGAGTTCGCCAAGTGCGCCGCCAAGAGTAAGGTGCGCATGGCTGCTGGAGGTGATATTACCTGTATCATGGACGGCTGGGTCAAGTCCATCCTTGACTCCAAGAAGTGGCGCGAGGCCGAGGCTGCCGGTTCCACCGAGGGTCTTGAAAAGCCGACTCCTCTTCTCCGCGAGTTCACCGACTACGAGATCGCCCAAACCGTCTTCACTTTCCTCTTCGCCTCGCAGGATGCCACCAGCAGTGCTGCCACTTGGCTCTTCCAGGTCACTGCCCAGCGCCCTGATGTTCTTGACCGCATTCGTGAGGAGAACCTCAAGGTCCGTAACGGAAACCGTCATGCCGAGCTCAACATGGACCAGCTTGAATCTTTGACCTACACCCGTGCTGTTGTTCGCGAGCTCCTCCGCTGGCGCCCTCCTGTCATCATGGTGCCATACTTGGCCAAGAAGCCTTTCCCCATCACCGACACGTACACCGTCCCCAAGGGTAAGCTTTTTGTTTCACATGCTTGGGAGTCTTTCTGACAAAACCTAGGCGCCATGATCATTCCCACCGTCTACCCTGCGCTCCGCGACCCCGAGGTTTACGACCGCCCCGATGAGTTCGATCCCGAAAGATACTACACCGGCGATGCTGAGGCCAAGGGCGCCAAGAACTTCCTCGTTTTTGGCGTCGGTCCTCACTACTGCCTCGGCCAGGTTTACGCTCAGCTGAACCTGGCTCTGATGATTGGCAAGGCGTCGATTCTGATGGACTGGGTGCACCACGCTACCCCATTGTCTGAGGAGATCAAGGTGTTCGCGACCATTTTTCCCAAGGTATGTTTGTCACGTTCTGAAGGGGAGCGAAAAGGATGCTAAGAAGTGTAGGACGACTGCCCTCTGACCTTCAAGGAGCGCGCATAAAGTATAAAAGCTTCTTTGTAGGTGTGCAAAGCTAGCTTTGCTGACTAGGCTCATCCAATGAATGTGATGAGTGCGGTGTTAGAGTGGTTATACGGGATCACCGCTAGCGCATCCCGTGGATGACAGGCGCCACAAAAGGCTGACGAAACAGGAGGCTCGTAAAATACGAGTCGAGATTGGTCGACGTCGGTTGTCTAGACTAAAATTTATAATGAACGTTTGTATATACATAATACCTTAGGCATGGCCTCACGGCTGGGCGATTTCGGCATGTTGTCGTTTCCAGGGACCACGAGTTCCGAGGGAAGGGGGTAGGCCATCCTGTCTGAATGATGCTAGAGAGATAGATTCAGAGCAGCGCCAATGACACGCTTTCAAAGTTATGCCGTATCCGGACCGGTGGTTTTTGTGCTGTCTTGGTGCGATTGACATCATTCTTCTCGCAGCAACCGGCCACCTCTGGCGGCTCATTTCCCAACGAGGCCACCGAACCAGCCAATGCCTGTGTGAATCCATCACCAGATCCTTGGCCCTGAGAATGGTGATGCTTCGGCTGTCAAAGTTGGAAGGACGTCTGGAACAGAATGTCTTAGTGCGAGGTCGGGAGGTCGGCGCGTCTGCTCAAAAACGCCGAATCGAATGAACCCCGGTGACATCAGTGGGGACGAACGGACCCTTGTTGCACTGCAGTCGAGCGGGCACTGTTGTCGCCGTACCTGGATCCAGTAGCAACCAATCGTCTGAAGCTCCGAAAGTGGCTACCAACACCACACTCACACACAAACCACGTCCGTAGCCGGCGCCTATCCAGAAAGATCCGATACAGTATGTCAGCCACAAGAAGAGCATATTCGAATGCGCTTCGCGCGAGTGGCCGCATCGTCGCGCCCGCCGGCCTCGCAAGACAGGCTTTCGCCTTTGCTGCGTCGTCGTCGGAGAGCTTCCGGCCTGCAGCATGCGCAACGGCGAACCGGTCTCTCGCGGCCATTGCGCCAAGATTCTACTCTTCAAAGTCTGGAGCGGACGACTACCACGAGATCTCGGCCACGGGTAGCAAGCTGTGGAGCTTTGAGCAGATGGAGAAGCTTGCCAAGGATGGCAAGCCAAACGTGGTGATTATTGGTATGTAAACTGTTTGTGGTTTCCCCCGCCATCTCCCACCTCTTACAGATCTCGAGTGTAATCACGATGCAGGCTGCTGACAAGGGCGATCTATGGGCAGACGCCCGTGAGCCTGGCGAGCTTGTGCAGACGGGCTGCATCCCCGGTGCCATCAACATCCCTGTTGGGACAGCGCCTCAAAGCTTTCACATGACCTCGGAGGACTTTGAGGACCTACACGGCTTCAAGCGCCCAGGCCAAGACCAGGAGCTGATCATGTACTGCAAGGCTGGTGTGCGTAGTCGGGCGCTGGCGTCTCTGGCCAAGGAGGCCGGATGGAAGAACATCGGGGAGTACCCTGGCAGCTGGCTCGACTGGGAGAAGAACGGGGGACCGGTTCAGAAAAAGAAGGAGCACTAAGGATTGATGGGTGAAAGTCACGGCTGGTTTGGCATCAAATCTACGGGCCATATCTATGGGTTGCGCGTAGCATAGACAGTCGCATTCGGGTCAATCATGATATTCGTTGTACAGTAATGGTACATGTGATGGTCCGCACAAGCCGGATGACGCGGCAATGCGCGGCAATGCCCAATTCCCAAATTCAAACCCAAACAATGACGATGGATCTTTCTCTTCCATTTGATCCTTCTAGCTGACTCTACAAACACATGAGGGAGGACAGAAGGCACTCCAACTCAGCTCAGAAGAGTTGAGGGGGCTGGCCTTCAGCGGGCGGCGCAGCGGCGGGAGGCTGCGCTGGGGTGCTCGCTACAGGGCTTCCATGCGCAAAAAAGAGGATCTTGATGGCCAGGGAGAGGCCGAGGTGAAGCGCGACGACGACGATGAGGAGAATCTTGCTCGTCTGGTGGTCCGTAGCACTCAACACAGGGTAAAGGTTTCGCAGAAGGAAAGCGACAGACATGCCACAGCCGACAGCGACGAACACCCAGTTGAGAATGTTGATGGGCGACCAACTGATGAGAGCGACAGGAATCCAAATGAGATTGGCATAGCCATAGAGGGCCCAGCATTCAAGGAGGTTTGCAGACTCGGACCCGAAGTAACGTAGAGCGACGTAGAGGCCGACGGGAACGAAGAGGGTGTAGCCGTAGATAAGGCCGGCAGCACCTGGGGCACGAAAGGTCAGCGTGTCTGTGCAGATACGAGATAGTCGTTGGATGTTGAACCTTACCACTCAGAAGCTTGAAGTCGTAGGCAAACGGCCCTGTACCGGTGCTGGAGAGGTACTGGCTGATGGTGCCTCCGAGGAAGAGAATCAAGACGACTGTCGTCGCAATCCAAAAGGGACCGTATAAGTCGGGGTTACCCTCGAGAACATCAAGGAAGTTGGCTCGAGGGAAGAGCGCGGCCCAGCAACGAGACAGTACGGCTGACGTGTCGACATCGAAGTATTGAGCATAGAAGTTCAGGCTCCACAGGAAGCGCTTCGAGGAGCTCGAGGAAGCTGTCGCAGGAGGAGGGAGGCCAGACGCGGGAGGCTTGCGACTTCCTGGTGTTGTGTCTGCGAAGTTTGAGGTGTGAAATTCGAGGTCGTCTTGAAGATCGGTGTGACCGAGGTCACCCTGCGAAAGAATCAGCAACTCGGGTTGGAGTGGAAGCGAGGGATGAAGCTCTCTACCTCATCGTCGACATCTACAACAGCATCGTACCCGGAACCTGAAGGCATGGCTGCTCTATGCAAGGCGGAGAACTCTTCGGAAAGGAATGATACTTTGGGTGACAACCTGGCGAAAGAGGCATGTATGCACGCGCCGCGATCGTCGTTTGTAGACCCTGAAGTCGATGTGTTCCGGAATCGTGGATGTCCAGTGTCTGGAGCACGGGAGAAGCATAGGTGTCGTAATCCCACGTATGCAATTTGGCCCTGGACACTGCAGCTCCCTGCGTGACCGGCCCCACCAGAAACATCCTCCCTGCACCGTGTGCGCAATGCCCACCCGCTTATACTTGCGACACTACCCTGGATAACTCAACACCCCCGATTTATGCATGGAGCCAGATGTAACGAGACCGACTGGTCGATGACAACAGTCACTTTACACATCAAGGTTCACGATCGTTTGGGTTTGAGGCTCTGTTATTTTTGTTTTCTACGGTGCTGATCTTCATCGTATCATCAATGAAGTATGCCAGTCGCCATCCCGCATCCATCATAGTACGTCTCTCATGCTCGTTAGCATCTCCATGCAGCACTCAGGACGCCTCGGGCGCTCTCGCCATACGATTCAGCCTCCGATCGAGGACGGACGGGTTTGAGGTAGGGCGACCAATTCAGTGTTTATTCGAAGAACTGCTTGCCGGTGGGGAGTAATGCTACCACAAAGCCCGATGAATCAAGGAAAATATTTTCATCCCTGCCATCCTCTCCAGAATGCCAGAACCCGTGACGCCGCATCCGTAATAAATCGTCTATTTGAGCTTCTTCTTGGGGCGGAGCTGGTTGGTGTGACCGCACTTGCGCTTGCGGCAGTTGGTCGCACGGGGAGGGAGACGAGCCTGGGCGGTGTTAGATGAGTCGGTCGGGGGGGACGGATCCGCTGAGCAGGCGAAGACCACTTACGTAGCACTTGCGGCAGATCATCTTGTCGCAGTTGAACTTGGAGGCCAGAGCCTTGAGCGAGGGCTCGATGATACCACCGCGGAGGCGGAGGACCAGGTGGAGGGTGGACTCCTGCGCAAATTGTCAGCTTCCGTTCGTTCCGCGTCCAGTCCTCATATCCTTCATCGTCGACATTTACACCTCCTCATATCCCTGCGAGAGTAAAATGCGGTGTTCCACTAACCTTCTGGATGTTGTAGTCGGAGAGGGTGCGGCCGTCCTCAAGCTGCTTGCCGGCGAAGATCAAGCGCTGCTGGTCGGGGGGGATGCCCTCCTTGTCCTGGATCTTGGACTTGACATTGTCGATCGTGTCGGAGGACTCGACCTCAAGGGTAATGGTCTTACCCGTCAGGGTCTTCACGAAACTGTAGCCACCATCGTCAGTCCATCGGCGTTTTCGGGATAGCGGTCGTCGCACGGAAGGAGGAAATCGCGGCGGGTAAATCTTGTTTTCGGGGTTGCTCACATCTGCACTGAAGGTAAAATGTTAGCATCACCGTCAATCGAGCGAAGCGCGCGCGCCGACGTCCGTCAGAGGGGGTGCCCGTGTACTTACTCTTGCCGACCTCTCGCGAACTGGCTGTTGTTACCGAAGAAGTTCTGGTGATCGCGGCAAACTGATGGTGGGGCGGGCTTGAGAACGGTGTTCACGGCGAGATCAAAAACAAAAAGCCCTAATTAGGGCACGCGGTAGGTCACATGGATTACGGATAGGCGGGTGCAGGTGCGGTCGACCCCAAAGCGGGTTCCCACCCTGTGCAGCACTGTGGGAACAACCGTAGCTCCCAGAGCACCACCACCTCACCCTACAACACTATCCAGCCAGCCTAAGTAGGTACCTCACTTAGGTACTTGCCTACCTACTGTACCCACTACGGCGAAGGCCCCCGACCTCAGCCCTGCGGCAGGTTACTGTCGCTGAGACCGCTGCAGATACCTGAGGTGAGGTAATCAGCGTATTCGCACTACCTGACCTTGGTATGTCGGGTATCATGGATAGATGCCTTTACATGTCTGCGTTTGAATGTTCCCATGTCATGCCCTGTACAAGGCGCAATTGCTCTAAATGTCATGAATACTGTGGATGAATCTATGGTATCTTGGGTATCAAAAACCTGTTTCCTCCTTGCCCCCCATTTCCTATTCAGCAAGACTGCGTGTGCACAGCCATCATTCGTCTGGCGTGGGCAGCCCGCCATCAAGCTCTACGCTCATGGCTGATCGGGACCGCTCACGACGTTCACTTGCCCCTCTGCGTTGCTCTCTTTGCCAAACGAGGATGTTTGCCTCGAGCATGTTGACGGCTCGCAACAACATACTGACTGACAGACCAGAGAGACGGCCAGCAAGCCGGAAGAAATCCCTACCCGTAGGGGGCAGATCTTCCTCGGACCTGTAGGAGTATTGTCTGTTCTTTTTCAGACCCTCCTCTTCCATTGTTTCTTGGACGGCGAACGACGCAGCCCGTCCTTGAACTGTGCGTAACCTTTCCTCTATCTCATCTTCAGGGGCCTCAGATGGCGGTTGCTTGGGCGGCAGTTCATCAACTGGAAAGTACCTGGCGAGCACTGAATCCTCCGCTGGTCGTAGTTAGTCATGTAACCTAGAGCAATTAACCGCCCGAAGACTTACACTGTGCGTCTGTGAGCATTGACAGCTGAGTAAAATACTCATCCAGCTCTGCTTGCGCCATCGACGTAATGTGTGAAGCCGTTACACCAAGGTAATCAACGGTGGGAACAGTTTCTGGGGACAATGCTGGCGCCATGGACGTCCGCCACTCATCCCACTTGAAGTCTGGTATCAAGAAAAGCTTTCCTTCTTGCACCGGCGACTTGGATTCCTCGAGGGGGAAGCAGTGGATGGTCGTGAGAACAATGACGGCAACAAGCAGAATTTCAGGCTGGTGTATAAGTCTCAGTCGAGACTTGCCTAATGGAAATTCATACGGCAGGTTGACGATGAGTGGTATCCTGCGAGCAACCGATATCGTCTCAACTACTGGCTGTCAGCAACGGCACGATAGCCATACCCACGTGAGCCTTACTGGGCAGTCCAAGCTCTCGGACGTACTGCAATGTCATCAGGACGTCATTTAGGGGAGGGAAAACTATGCCGTAGTTGGAATTAAACGACAGAGCGAGACTCAGTACGGCAGCATGCAGCTCCCCATGATCAAATTTGGCCAAGTGTGCTGCTTTCAATACCGTTGAATAGTATGCTGGTAACCGGTCACGCATCTCTTGGGGCAGTTTCCGATACTGGTCATATCAGCAGACACTCTTAACACCATCGACGCTCAAGCTTACACTATGCTTGTAGGGAATGTTTCCCGCTCTCGCCCACCTAGCCAAATCTCCTGTGCGTGTCGGCATTCTGAGAAGCATGCACCCAAGAAAGCAGAGCGCTAGAGTGTCCATCAGTCGCGGAGCGGGCCACTCGCTCCCACTCTCGGGGGTCCAGTTCTGTGCTCCCTGTGTGCGATTGCTAGGTTGCTCGTCCTGCGAGAGGTCGATTTGGGAGCTGAAGAGGGAGAGCTCGGCCTCTGAAGCAGAGTCGTTCTCAACAGCACTCACGGCTCCTCGTATGCGGAGATCCCAAAGGTCGCGAACTACTGTCTCGAGCTCTGCCTTGTGACCTTCGACGTCGACCAACCACATCACCTGTTCCCTCAGTATGAGTTGAAGGCATTCGAGATACAGATCTCGTGCAGGCGGGCCGGTGAGGACACGTCGCACGCGCTCTTTGATTTGCTTCTCTTTCCGGGAGACTTTTCCCTTCTGGCCAAAGTCTTCATCACCGAGATCGAACTCAACATAGCCCTGAGGAATGGATCAGCTCTAGAATTTGACACACATGGAAATCATCACCAACTGACCTCGAGCTGGTGGCCTTCTTTTGCACAATATCGAAGACCATTCTCCAAATACCATTTTCGTGAACCACAGTGTTCGCAACGCTCCCCTTTGGGGAATTTGTGCAGTTCCCTGTTTGGGGCCATGTTGTTGTGGTTGGAGGTTGAGTTGCAAAGATGAGTATCGGGCAGAAACTTAACCCTGTCGGAGAATATAGGACAGTGCTCAACCGGTTACCTTGATTCGACAAGATCAACTAGGCAGACGACCAGACTGCACTTTTCCACAATCTTCGTGATTGTGCGCAACAGGGAAGCAAACCAGGTTACAAGCGAACTGAGCATCGTCTCAATTTACTACGAGCCGTAGATGAACGAAAAGAGTGAATGTAGAAATGCACGGTGCACCAACTGTGGACCTGAACTTGAAGTTGGGCATATTTTGGATGACTTCACATCAGTATTACCCGCGTTCCAGCTTGACCCGGCAGCTTAAGAGTAGATTCACATAGAAACATATTTGCACAGATTGATGAACACAAGGCACTGTAAAATGGTAACTAAGAAGGAACCACGAGGTGGAGGAAATGTGCCGCTTTTCTATCGGACAGATCTGTTGCCACCGCGAAGCTCTCCCAATATTTTTCACCTATCCCATTGCTAGTCTGGTCGTCATAAGAGTCTGTGAAACAGACCAAAACAAAGGAAAAAGTCGTGCGACGTGTCTTGCAGTTGTCGAGTTCGCGTAATCAGTATCAATTCCTGTCCAGATAGTCCTCTACGCAACGATCGACGGGGAGCTCGCTGATATTCGAGGCGCCAAGAAATATCTGTAGTCATGCTCCCGATCTGCCAACATCTGCCAACAAGGCCGCACGGAGTGAGCGCTTGTGGAAGTCATTGTCTGTTGAAATAGTAGAGTTGCGACGCTTAAGCCTGCTTGGGGGCCTCCTTGGCCTCAACGGCAGCCTCCTCACCCATGGCAGTGAGAATGACAACGTCTGTTGAGCTTGCTGTCAGCGACTGTTCTCTTGAAATATGGGAGTTGATGTGTCCTTACTGGTGTCCTTCTCGTCAACCTTGAAAAGCTTGTTGATCTTGTCGCCAATCTCGCCGTCGGGGACGCGGACGTCGTCCTTGGTGTCACCGTCGTCGTTCATGAGGGAAAGGAAACCATCGTCGGAGATGTCAAGCTGAGAGTGTGCATGTCAGGAGACGGAATCTCATTTGCCAAATTCGCAGTATAGATCGGGACTTACGAGCTGGTACTCGCGGCGCTGGACATTGGGGACGTCCATGTTGTGGGTGGAAGGGCAGAGATCCTCAAGCTTCTTGCCAGTGAAGATGTCGATGGCGACCAAGTGAACCTTAGCGTGACCGTGCTTGCCAGTCTTGGAGGTAGACATGTCGACGATCTTGCAAGGGCGGCCCTTGATGACGACGTGACCGTTCTTCCTCAGAGCAGAGCACTGCATGGGGTAGGTGGCAGACGCGCCGGCGTCGGCGGACTCGAAGGTGTGATCATGCTACAGAACCGGCGTGTTAGCATACTGAGGCACGCTTGGATGAATACAACGAAAGACAATCTAGACAAGATGGAAAGTCGAGTGTTCGCAGTCGGCGGTTCGTGGTGTACGGATGTGCTGCGCTGAGCCGTGGTGCGTCGATGCAGCCGCGGGGCTCACCCAATGCGGGGTGGTTATGAATGTGGATGGTGGTTTTTTCCTTCGCCCGAGCAACAACAGCGGTGCAGCGCAGCGCATGCGACCAGCACAAGGACAGAGACGACAGAACAGAGATATCAGCTTGCGCATGTGCTTACCTGAGAGTCGTCGGCCATTTTGAAGGATTGACTTGAAGAAGATGTCTAAAAATCGGGAACGGAGATGTCGACGGATCAAGGGCGATACCCAGCAAAAACAACTGCTTTTATTTTTGAAGGGGGGGGAGAGTGTTGTGTAAAGGAAGAAGAGCGGGCTGGAGGGGGGAACGGAGGGGAAAAAGAGGGAAGGCGAGGCGGGAGTAGATAATTTTTTTTCCTGGTTTTATTATTGGGTTTTTTTTTTCTTAGGTCCAGATTCGCGCCCCTCTCCTCTCTCCGACCCTTTCTCACGGGTGTGCAGGCGGGCTGTGTGGGACACTTGCCAGTGTAAAAAAAGGTGGAGTGTGGGCTTTTTTTTCTTTTCCCTCCCCCTCTCTCCTCTCAGCATCTGCCACCGCTGACCACGCACAGCACCAAGCTCAAAGCACAGCGCAGCACACAGCAGTCGAAATGTCTATTTCTTGACAACCTAGGTACCTGGGTGTGCTGGGAAAGGTACCTTAGGTCGAGACTGCGGTGGTGGCCTGCCACTCTGAGCACCTTAGTGTGAGCCCCTCTGCCCCTCACCTCTGCCCCTCCTTCGGCCACTGCAGCCCAGCCTTCGAGCGACAGACACTCGGGCCCCCTTGGCCCTGTGCTTCCCGCCCGCAATCACTCACCGCAGGCACCTGCCGGTGAGGCATAGGGGGTACCTCGCCGCAAAGGTAGACGGGAGTGCGAGAAGTCGGTCTAAGTCATGAAGAGCCGTTCATGTCCAATGACTCCACGCCGAAAGGTCATATGGTGCTTTTCTAGATTTGGAGTGCCCGGAACAAGCCCCTCGTTCTGAGGCTGACGAGATATAAGGAACTTCGGCGAGATACGTTACAGCGAGCCAGCAATGGACAATCTAGCTACTCACTAAGGTGCCTACGTGGTACGCGGGCGCCTGCCCGAAGTCATCGAAGCTGTCGGGTACGTCCAGCTCCCGTGGCGACAATACCTCACAGTCCGTAGCACTCATTTTTGGCGCTAATGCCGCCTGACTAGGAACCCGACTGCTGCCAACACTGGCCAATTCAGTCACCCTGTCCGGGCCTACACTGTCTACGGGGAGGCCCTGAAGGCGGGAGTGATTTGCACGGTATGCGCTCAAAATTTCCACCAAACGTGGTCATTCTCGTTGCGCCCGTGTATATTGGTACCGTGTAGATATTCATCAATGCCTGCCCCTCCTTTCTGTGCATTGGCATTGGGTGTGTGCGTTCCTCTCGTCTTTTGTGTGTGAAAGAATAGAATCCGCGTCGTCGGAATCAGACAGAGGAAATCGCAACAAAGCCACAACGGAAAACAAACACGACCTGTTTCTACATCAGTAGACAATCCCACATACCCCTCCATTGATGTCTCTGGAATGGTTCGTTACCCGAGAAACGTCGCGGATTCTGCACAACATGTTTGGTGCAGCATCTTCGTCCCTCTCCCGGATACACTTACGCAGTTTGGATGCATCAATGACCTGTTTTTGCGCCTGTCCAAGTCCTGCCCCGCACGTTTGCTTCAGTGCTCCCGCACCGTCGGCCTTCCAAAACGTTGCCCCGCACTTTCAACCTCTGGGCGGGACTTCATCAAGAGAAGCAAACATCCGAGCCCCTGCTGCGCCACACTAAGCTCTACAATAGGTACTCTTTGTGGCTGAAGAGCCTGGACTGCAGATTATCCAATCAGAACACATCACCCTGCAGGAGACTATCAGCCTTGTCGGCTCCCGGTCAATATCACAGGTCTACGTATCCTGAGTGATCCAGCTCGCTTGCCCCCTTCCACGCCCCCCATCGACTCCAATCCTTCGATGTCATGGTGTACGACCGAACCGACCGAACCGCTTCGTAGCCTCTTCCCACCGCAAGCCCATCATGTGGCTTGATCGGCTCGCAGCCCAGTCGAACCCGTCTCCGTCACCGTCGCAGCCCGGCAGCCGTCCCTACTCTCCTCTGCCGCGACGAACCTCCAACAGTCCCTATGTCACCTCTCAACGACCCGGCGTAACGCCAAGAGGCTCTGCCCTCTCCCTCGTTTCCAATGACTCTTCCAACTCGTTTCTGGCCTCCCGCAAGGTCAACGGGTCCGGCCTCAAGCAATCGCAAACAACCTACGAGGGACCCGATTCGGTCGAAGTCCTGGGCCAGATCCTGGATACCCCCTCATTGCCAACACCCGGCGTGAATGGTACAGCCGGGGCCATAGCTGAGAAGGATCTCGAGTTCCAATTCGACTTTAATGGAATGAGTCTACGTGAGCTGGCGAGCTCCGACACCACGGCTACGGACGATGCCGATGGCTACCGTCGGCAAACCGCAGAAGAATGTAAGAGCTCTACAAGCTGGTTTTTTTTGCGGCCAACCTTCCGTATGCTGACCCCACGCGCAGATGAGACCAGCAAGGCCCAATTTGAAGATCTGCATCGGTCCATCGCAGCTTGCGACGGCGTTCTCAGCTCTGTCGAGACGAACCTGACGAGCTTCCGCAACGATCTCGCGACGGTCTCCGCAGACATAGAAACTCTGCAGGCCCGCTCGACAGCCCTCAATGTCCGACTTGAGAACAGAAGAGCAGTGGAAAAGGCGTTCGGACCCGTGGTTGAGGAATTGAGCGTCTCCCCCCATGTCGTCTCCAAGATATCGGAAGGTCACATCGACGAGACATGGGTTAAAATGCTAGCTGAAGTGGATAAACGTGCAACAGCATACAAGAAGAACACGGCCAGTCCGCGGCAGAGTAAAGCTTGGGCTGACCTCGGCCCTCTATTGGAGAAGCTTACCATGAAAGCCATCGAAAGGATACGAGACTTCATTGTCGCCCAGATCAAGGCGCTCAGGTCCCCCCACATTAATGCCCAGATCATCCAACAACAGAACTTCCTCAAGTTCAAGGATCTTTTTGCATTCTTGCACAAACATCACTCAAAGCTTGGTGAGGAAATCAGCCAGGCTTACATGAATACCATGAGGTGGTATTATGTGAATCAGTTCACTCGATACCAGAAGGCTTTGGAAAAGCTGAAACTACACACGTTGGATAAGAATGACGTCCTTGGACACGAAGAAACATCACGAAGAGCCACAGTTTTATCTGCAACAAAGCCGGTTGGTCCGCCGCACGATGCTTTTAACCTGGGGCGCCGCATCGACCTCTTGAAGACGAGCAATCAATCTGCGATATCATCTTACTTGGCCGAGGAGGACCAGACCACTCACTACCTCGAAGTTCCTTTCAGAAACTTCAATTTGGCGCTCATTGACAACGCCACTGCAGAGTATACCTTCCTAGCCGCCTACTTCTCACC